CAAAAGCAATAACCACCCACCCATGAAGCCAATCAGGAAGCTCAGCTCTAACCCTTGCGACAGGAACAGCCTCTCTTGATTGAGGACTTACTGGAACAAGAGAAGCAAGAGCAGATGAAGCAGCAAAAGGCCAACCAGCAGCAGCAGCAGGAGACCCTCGGGCAGGATGACCTGAACCTCAGTGACATGGAGTTCGAGAAGCTCAAGGCAGACGTCCTGTCTGTAGGGAATACAACAGTTGGCTTGCCCTCAATAGCTGGTGAGTCTGGTGTGACTTTCTCTCCTCGGTTTTGGAAGTTTTTATTTGGTGTTTTTGTTCTATTTCATTTTCTTCATTTCTTATAACATTGGTTATTTGATTCATCTGTAAATGTGTCTCTTGTCTCAGTCAACCTCTGTCTGTAAACTTCCCAATGCAGTTATGCAGAGGGATGGAAAGTCTCAGTGTCTCATATGATGCTCTTCCTACTTGCAGGAGGACAGGTAATAGGCACTAATGCCAGTGTGCGGCAGCCCTTCCAGCGGGTTGTTGGCCAGCCCCCTCCTCAAGGTGCAGGTCAGGCCATGTACCAATCGCCGTGTCCTGCCCAGCCAGCAACCCGACCAGTGAGACCGCAGGGAGACCCAGGCATGCATCCAGGTAAGACCTCTTGAGTAAAGAACACAACGAAGTACTGCTGTCACTCTTCGTATTTTATAGATGCGTCATGCTCAAATGGAAATTTCTGTGTTAGATTGAATAATTGATAATGTGTCCAAACATGTCATGAATTTTTGAGTCATTGTTTGTAAGTGTGAAAATATCAAATTGAAATTGTCTAAGTTTCATGTTAAGAATAGTTGCTCTAGAATTTATTTTATTTTCATTTTAATGTTTTCTTTCCACAATGTTTTCCTTTTTTAATGTATTAGTGTACTAGTTGTCATGAAATTATATTCTTTTGATAGATCATGGAATTATTTGCAAGTTGTTATTGTTTGTGGGACGTTACCATGTGTTTATTTGTTTTATTTTTTTATCTTCACTGTTTGTTTGATGAGCTTGCTCTAAACTGAACTTTTACTTTGATAAATTTCCAGCCTTGTTGCAAGCTGTTGGGTCACGAGGAACAGTTCCGTCATCACCAGGTACTGTGAACATCAAGACTTTACCACCACCTCCACAACCACCGGACAATCCCCAGACTGAAGCAGAAAGGCACCAGCAACTTCAGTACGAAAACTGGCTCACACAGCAACACAGCCTTATTGCCTCACAGCAGAGACACTATGATACAGAGATTACAAAGCTGCGCAAGCAGCGGAAGAGCCTGAACAGCCGCCAGAGAACGCTGAAGAAGAATGGACAAGAACTGAGTGAGCATGATGCAGCTGAACTAGCTCGTGTGCAACGTGATGCCTCCACCATTCAGCGCCACCTAGAACAGTGTCGTAAGTCGGCGAGGCAGCATGCTATGATTGTGCAGGAATACAATAACAAAAAGAGGCAAAGACAGGCCCACATGATGAATACACAGAGTGGTGTTATTGGTCCTGGGAACCCTGGGCAGTTGATGAGTGGGGCTTCGCCAATGGGACCTACTGGCTCATCCCCCATGCACTCCACCCCCCAGAGTCCCCTCATGTCTCCATCACCTTCCTCACAGCCAGGGATGGGCCTTAGTCCCATGGTTCCTTCCCCTCATACACCAGCCGCTTCTCCCAACCCTGCCATAGTACCTCAGCACTCTCCACATGCAATGGTGGTTCCAGTCCCCCATCCCTCACCTGGAGAATCCCCGTTCAGTCCTCAGACACGCATGCCATCGCCTGGTGGGGGTTATCCAGACCAGGGGCCTCGTGCCCCTTACCCTGGGCCTCAGGGGATGACTCACCACATGATGGGTCCACAGATGAGAGTGCGAATGCCAGTGCACAGTCCAGGGAATCAGACTGTGCAGCCTGGGCAGATGTCTCCCCACATGATGGGAGTGCGTCCAGCATATCCTCAGCCAGGTGTCATGATGTCTCAAGGTCAAGCTCCCATGATGATGAGACACCAATACCCACAAGGAGTCATGCCACACAGAAGACCGTCAGGTTCAGGGCCGGTCCCCAGCCCGGGCTCGGGTCCCAGCCCAAGTCCAGGAGGACCAGTCCCCAGCCCTATTGGCGGTGGCATGGCCATGAAACCAAGTCCAGTTCAGAGTGGCCTGAAGAGTCCAGTGCCATTGGCCAGTCCAAGTCCAGGGGGACCAGTCCCAAGTCCCCTCTCTGGCAGCATGGCAATGAAGCCTAGTCCAGTTCACAGTGGGTTAAGGAGTCCCGTACCCCTTGCCAGCCCTCAGATGCGGCCACACAGTGTGGAGAATCCAAGTACACCTCTGACACCACGTAGTGTAGGTGCGGGGGATATGGGTGGAGCTCCTCAGACCCCACACAGTGACATGGGTGGTGCCAGTGGAAGCAACAGCCAAGTTAACAGTCCTCACCCATCTGTGCCAACACCTACCAGTGATGCAGTGCCCTCACCTGTTCCTTCATCAACGCCTTCAATGGTTCAAGGGGGTCAGAGAGTGGGAGGAGGAGGAGGAAATGCCAACAATCCTAATAATCCTGCACCATGTCCTCCATACATGAGACGATTTGGTTACTTCAAGTTGGGTCTAAGAGGTGGTGGTTTTGTGAAGAGTCGCTGGGGACATTTTAAGCTCGGCCTCAAGGGTGGAATGCCTCATGGTGATGTAGAAAACAATGTTGTGCAAGCTACCTCTAATAGCGGACTGTCAACTACATTACCAACTACCACTACCACCATTGCACATACTTCTTCGGAGCCTTCCACAGTCAGAGCTGCAAGTACTCCTGTAGCCTCGCTAAAGAACGAACCTGAGGGTGATGAAGGGCAGGAAGGTCTTGCGCATGTTCTAAGTGAGAGTGGACCAATCAAAGGACCAATTGTTCGGATGCCAATGATAGGAGGAGGAGGGCAGAGGGTAAGCCAGTCAGCCTATGTGTCGGCAGGCTCATCCGTAACCATGACACCCCAGTTAAGTGCAAATGCTAACAAGGTTTTAGTTCCTGAACCTTTGAAGTCAGAAATTCCACCTTCCAGTCGGCACCAGGCAGTCATTGGGATTCCAGGTGGGGGTGCCATCTTCTCACAGAACAATATGTATCCAACTCACACAGTGGCCCCAGGCATCCGATTGCCAACTGCCGTGTCAACAGTCAACTACCCTTCAACGCTACCAAACCAAAACCAAGTGTCTGCCACGAGCACACTAGCTAGTGTATTAAGCTCATCCAGTGGCAGTAGTAGCTCTGCAATTAACAGTAGTCTTGTCCCTCCCCCCATTATGTCTGTCACCTCATCAGCAGAAACTTTACCAAGCTTAAATATTCAAAGCACAAGTCAGCCTTCAGATGATGTACAAACATTGAGCAATGTGGTGAGCATAAATAACCAGGTGAGTGGTATAACCAGTGGCCTGACAAACTATGCCAGTACAGCAAATGTACCTCTCAACTCCTCAGCAACAACTAACACGACTCCATCTCTCAGTCGACCACTGGTGAGTGTTCCAGTCCAACAGATTGGAATCCAGCAGCGGCCCATGTTGCAGACTTTAACAACAACAGTAGCTACCCCACAGGTCAGAACACTCCCATCTATTGGTAACCTACAGGCGGGGACACGTCAGTTTAAAACCTTGATAAGAGCCTCTGTAGGCCAGCATCCAGGTGTTATACAAACAGGTCAAGATCAGGCAGGTAACCAGATTGTTACTCAACAGCAAGTGCTTCAGCACACATTACCTCAGCAGGCTGGTGCCCCACCAACTTTAGGTCAGCAAACTTGGGTCCAGACTTCTGGTGGGCCTATTCCTCATAGTGGGGTTGTTGTACAAGGTGGAGTGCCACAGACAGTGGGCGTACGTATGGTCCAGCAGCCGATGATGGTTCAACAAACACTTGTGCGCAGTGGCAACATGATGGTCCGACCTGGAACAACAGGTCAAGGGGGAGTGAGAATGATGATGATTCATGGAGTGCAGCCTGTGCGCACACCTTCACCACCAGTAAACAGACCAGCTATGATGCCCCCACCTGCTGCCAAATCACCAGCAGGGCATTCTGCTAGTCCAATTCCTCGTGTATCTCCAGCACCCTCTCCTTTATCAAACCACCCATCTCCACACTCTCCTCAAGTGAAAGGGCAGTCTCCTCTCATGAGTTCTCCAGCCCCTAGTCCTCATGGGCCACATACGAATGTGGCTGTGGGAATGATTAAAAGAGAGCCAGATGATGAGCACACCAATGTCGTATTACCACCCCATCATACTATAGCAGGATCTGTTACGCAGCAGCAAGCTGGTACTGTACACATGACAATCAGTGGAGTTCAGCCACACACTACTGCAAATGTCCATGTTGTTAATCCACAGCATGCATCTACAATTGCAGGAACAATAAAGACTGAAGGTGTGAGTGAGGGAATGAACAAAGACTCCTCAAATGCATTACTGAAGCAGCTACTAGAGAATACAGGTTGTGCTAACTCCATGTCACAGCCTTCTTCAAGTCCCCTAGTTCTGTTCAGGTCCCCTCAAGGAACTGTACCAGTTCCTTCATCTAATCTGACCCACATTGCTTCACAGATACCAAACCCGACACCCATTGTGGTGTCACGTAGTAGTGTACCAGCCACACTTCCTGCCTCTCATCCGACAGTGTTGCAGGCTACTACTTCAGCAACCATGGTACCTCAGAATGCAACTGTACAACAACCACAACAGCAGCATACCGTGGCATCAGGTTCCTTACCACAGCAGCTAGGACCTAACCCACAAATGATTCAAAGGTCTGTTGTGGTTTCATCAGGCCCACATCCACCACAGGGGCCAGTCACCCACACTGTTGTCATGGGACAGCAGCACCAGCTGATTGCACACTCAGATGGGCATGGTAACCTTACCCACACTGTGGCTCGTCCTGGTGTGCCCTACACAGGCCAGCATCATGTCGTGGACCCTCATAATGCTGGTCCTCAGCCATCTAGTCAACACATAGGTGTGCGTCAAGTCACCACTCACCACCTCAGTCATCCAGGCATGAATTCATCGGCAGGGCACCATGTCATTCAGGGTCAGCCCCCACACCAGACTGTGACTGTCAGCCACCCAAACCATCCAATGGGTCACCCTCTCCCTCACTCCAATCCACAAATGGTTGTCCATCCTGGTATGAGGCCCACACATCCTGGTCAACATCCTATGGTTAATGCACATGCACCTGGGACTCATATTGTTACTGGACAGCGACCTCCTTTAGCCACTGCAGTATTAAACGCTACTCCAACACCAGCAAGTTTGGCTGACAGAGTCAACAGTAATCCAGCCCTTAAAACTGAAATGCGAGTCATGATTCCGGAGACTGTCTTGGGGACTGGTGCCAGCACGGGTGAGCACACACCAGAGATGACTACACCAAACGAAGGTTCCGACTCACTGGACCATGAGGAGAAGAAAGCCCGGAAGAGGTCACAGCAAGCCAGGAGGAAGAGCCAGAGCAAAGACACCAAAGTCCAGCCAGCAAAGCGAGCTAGACAAGGCTCAAGAGTAGAGGAGGACTATGATGCTTACATTGAGAATGTAATGCAGCAGCTGAGAGGCATGCCACCTCTCACCATAATGGAGCCAGAAGTGCCAAAGAATTTTAACCTCTGTCCCATGTTTGGCAGTGGAGATCTGAGCAAGCTTGGTAGAAGAGATTATAACCATCGGCAAGGATTGCTAGAGGGTAAAGAGGGCCATCTCACTGTTAAAAATATCACTGATTATTATAGTACACAGCCATTTGGGGATAAACCACCAATGGTCACACCAGCTAAGACAAATCCTACACAGAGAGGATTTTATATCCATGAATTTACACCACCAAAGATTGGCCTTCCCTTAGATGAATATCAGGAAGGGGAAACAGTTGTTGCTAGTTCCAATAGACCCACACCAGCACAAACTCCAACCCGAGATGCTGATTCCCCTGACACAGTATTAAGTTCTTCGTCACCAGAATGTATTCTTCCAGAGTCACCTCTTCCATTCAAAGGTCTGAGACTTGTTGACATGGATGAAGATCACCAGGATGATCAGCGTGATCGCTCTCTCTCCCCTGCCATCCCTCTTCTGGTACCCACTCCAATCAGACCAGGCCAACTGCCATTCATGCCGCAAATCAAGGATGGCAAGGATGTACCAGAGTTAGATAAGGAGAACATTGGCAGTCTAGCTAGTATCACTATGAAGAGCCGGCTAGGCCAATCTCCAGCTTTGCCTCTGAAAGATATGGGGAATGTGAGTGTCACACTAACGCTGTCCTCACAGGCTGGAGAAGATGTGTCTGGTATTCTGCGATCTTTAGCAAATCTCTTAAACATTCCTCCTCCATCGTCATATCAGATGGCAGATCGCATTGAACCCCCCAAACTACCAAGGGTTTACCGACACAAACACCCGAAGGATGGGGTAGAGCAACTTGTTGATATCCAGAGCATCTTGAATGGTCAGGCCAGATTTTGTAGACATTGTGATGTGATTATATTGAAAGACATTCTGTGTAAGAAAGTCTCAGAACTTCCTTTCCTAAATAAGAGCGATTACGAAAGCGTGGATGAAGTGACATTCTGTTCTCAGCAATGTTATATCCAGTTTGCTGTTTCTCATCGTGTTGTGGTTGAAGATAGAGGCAAATTAGAAGGAAGTAGCAGGTTTGCTAAGGTGAAAGATTCTTGTGGAGATAATACCAAAGACCCTTCCATTTTATCTGATGATGCACTGCTTGATTGGTCAAAGGAGGAGGGCATGGATGAAGTTTTGAAGGTGCCACAGCTGGAAGACTCATTACATTCTCGACCAAACAAGCACAAACTGGAAGAGGACCAGGAACAGTACCCGAGGCAGGCTGATGGAAAGCGGTTCCGTGGACACAAGTACAAATGCTGGACACCAAATGCACTGACCCTTCCAGAGAAATATGAAAAGCCCACACCCAAGGAGATGACAGATCTGTTGTTTAGAATGGGGATCACATACAGAAAACCAAGGCTCAAAGATGATTCTCGGAAGTGCACGCTATGTGGTCTGTATGGTGATTATGTAGCTGACGGTCCTTCTAGACTCTTGAATTTTGATGTTGACAAGTGGGTGCATTTGAATTGTGCTCTCTGGGCAGATGAGGTTTATGAGACCATGAATGGGGCTTTAATGAATGTAGAAGCATCTCTGAAGAAGGTGGCAAATTATGTATGCGAACATTGCGAGCAGGCGGGAGCATCTGTGAAGTGCTTTAAAGTTCGCTGCAGTAAAGTTTATCACCTGAATTGTGCAGTGAAGGAGGGTTGTACCTTCTACAAGAACAAAACTGTATTTTGTCAAGAGCATATTAACAAAGGAGAAAAAGACAATGAGCTGTCAACTTTGGCTGTGTTTCGGCGAGTGTTCATAGACCGAGATGACAACAGACAAGTCGCCTCTGTGATGCACCACGCAGATCTAAGTTATGTCCTGCGCATTGGCTCTCTAATCCTAATAGCCATCGGCCAGCTGTTCCCTCACCAGCTGCAGGCATTCCATACACCATATTGCATCTACCCTGTGGGCTATCAAGTTGTAAGTATCATAAGATATAATTTCCATATCATTTTGTTTTCTTTTGTGTTTGCTTGTTCATATGCTTAGATGCTAATTTTTGTAGGTGTAGGTTCTGTTTATTAATTTTTTAATCTTTTCATATGTTCAAAGTGTATGAAATCAACTTTTCCCCCCTCTATTATTTCCAGATTCGTTACTACTGGAGTATGAGGCGTCTCCATAAAAGGTGTGCATATGAATGTTCCATCCATGACAACAGTGGCCAGCCAGAGTTCAGAATAACAGTGAAAGAAGAAGGCTATGATGACCACACTTTCATCAGCTGTTCTCCAAAGGGGGTGTGGAACAAAGTGCTGGAACCTCTTGCAGAATTAAGGCAAAAGGCTGATGTGGTGAGACTCTTCCCTCAGTATATCAACGGCGAAGACCTCTTTGGTCTCACTGAGCCAGCCATTGTCAGGATTCTAGAATCTCTACCAGGTATCGACACTTTGGCAGACTACAATTTCAAGTATGGTCGCAATCCATTGTTTGAGCTTCCTCTGGCTGTGAATCCAACTGGCTGTGCTCGGTCAGAGCCCTTCAACAAAATGCACCTCAAACGGTACCATGGAATGAGAACAAGTGTTGGGTCAGTCCGTAGCAGCAGCAATTGCAGGAACGCCGCAAGTGTGGCCAACCTGACTATGACCTTTGACCCCTACAGCAAGCTTCATGTCCACTCCAGGTCGTCACAGTATAAAAGAATGAAAAATGAGTGGAGAAGTGTTGTGTACCTGGCCAGGTGAGTCGGAGAACTTTTGTTGGGTCACAGATAATGGATTGGAAGTCATGGCAGTTATTTTCATAATTTGAACCAGTTGTCTGTCTCTCCAAAACTGGAACCAGATCTAAATAATTTTGTGTTTTGCAGATCAAAGATCCAGGGCCTTGGGCTGTATGCTGCACGAGATATTGAAAAGAACACCATGATCATTGAATACATTGGAGAGATCATTAGATCAGAGTTGGCAGAGGTGAGACAAGGAAAGCTTTTTATAGGGCTTGAGATTTTAAAGGAGCAATTTACCTGGTTCATATATATCTAATTTTGAAAAAACTTTTATGCAAATTCCAATAGTTTTCATTAACAGACATTAGTTGGAGTGAATGTATTGAAGATGCTTGGTATGATTTATATCCCAGAAATACTTTTCTGGCAGTGGTTCAGTAGCTAGTAAATTTTATAACTTGTGAATTATCCAGTGGAAAAGTAATCAATACTTAAGAAAAATCTGACATAAGGAGTTAATGTATATTCCTGTCTCCCTTCCTCCCCTTCAGGTGAGAGAGAAGCGCTATGAGGCCCAGAACCGTGGTATCTACATGTTCCGGCTGGATGATCAGAGGGTGGTGGATGCGACAGTGACGGGTGGCCTGGCTCGCTATGTGAACCACTCCTGTGGTCCCAATTGCTACACAGAGACCATCGAGGTGGAGAGAGACCTCAAGATTCTCATCATCTCCAATAGGAAAATTCTCAGAGGGGAAGAGGTATGCTTTAATTGATGATAACACTTTATAGGTGTTGTATTGATGTACATTGGGTGGTGGTGTGTGGATGGGTTATATATTTCTTTATTGTGTAAGAATTTTGTCTGCTTTGGACTGTATATCCTTTTATGTAGGTGCTGTTTTTGTATCTGACACATTTTTAGACAACTGGCCCTCAACAACCCTCTGAATCTCCACAGCTTGCGTATGACTACAAGTTTGACGAGGAGGAAGACCACAAGATCCCATGTCTGTGCGGCGCTGAGAACTGTCGGAAGTGGATGAATTAAGCAAGGAAGGAGTCAGTACAACTAAATAATTACAGTTACGTCCATTGAGTTTGAAGAACTCCTCCAGAAAACAGAACAAAGTAAACAAATAAACAAAACAAAACAAAAAACAGTATAAAAAACAATTTTTTTGGTATTAGGAAATATTTAAAAAAGTATAACAAAAAAGAAAAAAAATAAACATACAACTTCTAAAAGTAGAATGTGCCTTGATACTTGGATACTGTACCTATTTCTACCAGGAGTGTAGACAGGGGAGGTCAACGAGATGGCTGTCTTGTGTTTGTAAAGTGTGAGATAGCTGCATTCAAGGTATGACTCATATGGCCAACAGTCGTAATGTGAATTGTAAGTTAATATAAAAGATTATATTTATATATACATATATCTATGTAGTCGTGTGTGAGGATCCCCAGAGTTTCTGTAAATGTTTTGTGCAAATCTTTTCTCTTAAGCAAAACTGTGTGTTAAGCCTAAATAAAAAAGAACGAAAAAAAAAGAAGCTTGCTTTGACAGGCTTTGGAAATCTTCGGTGGACTTTAGAAGAAGGAAAGTGACCAAATCTTGAATGTTACTTGCGACAGCAGTGAGGTAATTCAGAAGAAATTAAACAATATTAATACAGCTAATGCGGTAAGCTTAAGCCCCATCCCCCCTTCTCCCGTACATACGTGTGTGTCAGGACCCTAGAAGAGCCAAGTGCCTTGCGCTAGGAAAGCAGCTTTCCAAGTCAGGGATTGGATTTAAACTAATTCGCGGCTGAAGTGCAATTTTTATTGTCCGAAAGGAAATGTGATTATATAGGGCTTGTGGTGGAAATTGGACCAGCCTTCCGTTCCTGTGGCTGGCAGACCTTGTGGGAATGCTCCTTTGAGCATTTGGTGTGGTCCTTTTTTTTCCCCCCTTCTTTTTTATCTTGGCCTGCTTATCAGAAGCCATCACGGGAGGACGATGATGATGATGATGAAGACAACACTGAACGGAATTGTGGACCAGTTTTTTCCAGTAAGCCAACTTAGTAATCATTTGTATGTGAGAATGACATTGATTAATGCATCTATTTTCACAAGAATTTCAGGATCTTTTTTGACTCTGCTTTTCTCTCATTTTTCTTGTCTGTTTTTTTCTCTTTTTTTTTTATCATATTTTGTACTTGTTAACTCCCTTTATTTTTTTCCTTTTCTTCTTTCTTCTTTAATTAATATATATATATCCTTCCTCGACCTTTGTAATCTACTACTTGTTCATAGATGTGCTGTTGAAAAAAAAAAAGCATTTAAAAACAGAAAAAAATTTGTAATGATGATGATAAGAAAGAAGAAAGCTAGGAACAGAAGGGACTTAACAGGTTGTGGGAGGCCAGGGAAGATGCAAGCCCACCAGTGAGCCCTTGTGTCTGGCCCAGTCTGGCCTCCCTCCCTCTCCAATCTCGAGCTCTGTTGTGTTTCCGGACGCAGGTGTTGAGCAGCCACCCGCTCCCTTGGGGGGCGGGGGAGCAACGCGCAAGAGTAATGGTAACCTTTTGTGTATATTGGACTGTGCAGGATGTCCTCATAAAGAGTTTTTATATATATAGGGTCTACAACTTAGGGCTTTGTGGCTGATCAGTGGCCAGTAGATGCAAAGGGGTGGGAAGGAACTCCTTGGGGAGGACGTGTCTGACCGTGATAATAGCGAAGAGTTTTACGATTATAATTTTTTGCCTCTTCTTTTTGAAAGTGCGTTTATTTTTCGATTTTCATCGAATGCCACCAATCTGTAGTACAGGTTATAGTGATTTGATTTTTAAAAAATTGTCATTGTAATTTTATCATTATTTCATCACCTTATTTTTATTTGTATTTTTATACAGATATTTTTTTCTCGTATGTTTGTATCTTCCAAAATCGTCAAGGAATTCTCTTCAATCTCTTATCTTTTCTCTAAATCCTGTGACTGGTTTTGTAAGTATCACCTTTATACTCTTAGTTCCCGTTTGACTAAGAAGCCTTTTCTTATCCCTTGCTTTTGCATTTTCTTATCCAGAGTACAGATGGACAAGCCTTGCCAAAGCACTGAAGACAAATTTTTTTTCCCCTCCCCCTCCATCATAATCTTAAGTTGTTGTCTGTATGTTTTTAATGTAATTTATAATAATTTCACTTTTTTATAAATCCTAATTAGATTATTAAGGATTTTTAGATGTATTGAATACTATACATGGCATTGTTTATAGATACCCCCCTCCGGTAAGATGTAAGGCTCGTATCCAATATGGCCTCCATATATTGCCTGTTATCCCTGTGAATCTAGAGTAAGTCAGCTGGTGGATTGGTGGATCCAAGAGATGTGTACAGAAGGCACCGTAAGTCATGCTGTCTAGCATTTCCCCCATAGGCTTGTACTGTACAGGATAGATATTGTAGGATAGGCTGGAAGTTAATTCCTTGCTTCAAGGTTTACCACACTGATAAATATACCGTATCACAAATAGACTGATGAATGTTAAATTATGATTTTTTCTTTCTTTCTCCCCTTTTTGTATTTATTGTTTTTCTATCTATAATATTTGTTTATATATATATATATATACACACACTGCATGATATTTTGATACAGTGCATTTCTTGGCCGCCAGCCACGCCTCCAGTCCCCAGACTCTCCCACCTTAACACGAACGTACGATGTCAGATATTAAGTATTATGCCTGTCCTCGTGAATTATGTATTTTATCTTAAAAGATTTGTATAATATAAGTAACCCAAGCATTCTCATATGTTTGATGTGTACTGTCAGGGGCCATTTGCGGTCTGTGGATGTATACTCCTGTTTGTGTGGATTTCTGATGATGAACAATGTCAATATGTAAATAAGTTGTTGAATACAGTCAATAAACATTTTCATGTATATACAAACATTTTTTACTGTCCTCTTATCAAAAAATAACAGAAAAGATATGGTATAATGCTCTTAAAGTGATAATTTTAGTGATTTTTTTTATTTATTATTATTTTTTTAATGAAATCATTAGATTACTTTTTGTTTGATTAAATTTGAAGTTGTGAGTTATCTTTATAGCAAAACAGTATTACAAGTGCCTAAGAATTTATTGATTCTGAGAAAAAAGAACACATTAGGACGATGCACATGATCAGAACAATTTATTTATGTGGCTTAAATCAATAGAACAAGCCAACCCTTGGATTGCCCTACATTTGCTAGTATGTGATGCATCATTCACATACTTTCTCCTTACCTCTCTTTCTTTCTTTCTCTTTCACAAACTCTCTCTTCTCTTTATCTCTTTTTCCCATTCTCTTCTTTTCTTATTTTTTTCTCTCCTTTCTCTCTCTCTCTTGCTTTCTCTCTCTCATTCTTGCTTTCTCTCTCTCTCTCTCTTTTTTATATACCAGGGAATTTATGTTATTCCCTTTATCTATCAGGTTAAAGAAGTGTCGCTATAACATCTTTTATTCTAAAACCTGTCAGAATTTCCGTAAGAACTTTTATGATAGAATTGTATTTACAAAACATTTGAAAGTCTGGATAGAACATGTAAATGGAATATCATTGTCGCTGTTTATATCATTCCACAAATTTACATATCTACAAATAAAATGTCTCTGGAAATGAGACGTGCTCGCCGTGGGCGGGCTGAGGGCAGCTGGGTTCTGCTGCGTTGCCCTTGTCCGACGGGCGCTTCGTCGTGGCTGCTGTTTGAGTGGCGCCAGATGAGGGACGTCTAAGTGCTGGGCCTTGTACAGGACCGTAAGTCCTGCTACATCTCTCCGACGCTGAAGATCGTCAACATTTATGTCAGCTTCATTAGCAGTTCTACCCATGAGTGTGACAGCTCTGTCTTGAATTTTGTCCAGGAGACTGAGATGCGTTTGAGCAGTTCCGTTCCATGCCCGTTCCATATCTCTCTCTCTCTCTCTCTCTCTCTCTCTCTCTCTCTTCTCTCTCTCTCTCTCTCTCTCTCTCTCTCTCTCTCTCTCTCTCTCTCTCTCTCTCTCTCTGTCTCTGTCTCTGTCTCTGTCTCTGTCTCTGTCTCTCTCTCTCTTTCTTCTCTCTCTCTCTTCTCTCTCTCTCTCTCCTCTCTCTCTTCTCTCTCTCTCTCTCTCTCTCTCTCTCTCTCTTCTCTCTCTCAAAAAAAAAAAAAAAAAAAAAAAAAAATAATAATACAATAATATAGCATTAACATGGATCTGCATGCTTGCCGATCTGACCCTAGGTGACTTTGCATCAGGTGTTAAGGCTGAAGCTAAAGATAATAAAATAAATAAAATAGCAGTAAGAAGAAGGTATACCAGATAAAAAAAGTAATAGTAATAACAACAACCATGATCAAAATCATTATAATGATAATTATAACAATGATGATGATGACAATGAAATGGAATACCTACTCAGTTGCCGATCTTGACCCCTGGTGACCTTGTTAGGGATAAAGCTAAGAATACTAAAATTGCTGCATAGAGGAGGTATCATGAGGATAATGTGATGATAATATTAATGTTAACAGTAATAGTAATAAAGTTAATAATACTCATGAGAATAACAACAATAGTAATAGTAACGCTACCAACGGCAATAATATTGATAACAATAACTATTATGATAATGAAATGAATTTGGACATAGGTAAAAGAGAACAACATCCTTAGGTATGGTTCTATATTGCAGCCAGTTAATCATGCAAGCGAAAACGGGGAGAGAGAGAGAGCGAGAGAGCGAGAGCGAGAGGAAAGAGAAAGAGAAAGAGAAAGAGAGGAGAGAGAGAGAGAGAAATATATATAGTTACCCATCATTTTATCTTAACATTTTCTTTCAACGCTCGAGAACTTTACTATACGTCTGGCAAGCCTGCAGAAAACCTTGGGAAGAATGCATGCACTATCATCCTCTTAATGTTTTAATGTTCACAGTGTATTATTCTGAACAAGAGAAGTGCACTGGAAAGAATAGCATCCCTGGAATGATAATTAAGCGGAAACACCTATCAAATGACACGTGCGAATTCCCCAAAAAGGAAATGAAACTCACACGTGGATACTGACAGCTGACACATGCACAGTATGAAACGCGTATGATTCCTGAAGAAGCGGTTAACACCCACGTACACTGTTCGTTGCTGCTTTATCTAAGCGTTGTCATTTCAGCAGAGTTTGTCATAGTAGAGGTTGTCATTTCGGTGGAGTTGGGACGTTTCTTAAGCAAACGGAGAGGAGAGCTAACGAAGTGATTGTGGATACTGAGAGAAGGAAAAAAGGGAAAAACATAGTGCAAAATCTGGTTTAAAAATGTTAGATGTTCGACATGTTCATTTTTTTATTAAATGAACATATATTATGACTGATACATAGATAGTGTGACTGATAAGTGCAGATCAGCAAGAAACAGCACTTAATCACCACTAACTTTTCAGGTAAGTGGACAGCAAAGACGTCTATATCTATTTGTATATATATACACATTTAATGTTCGTAACTACCTACCTACCTACCTACCTACCTACCTACCTACTACCTACCTACCTACCTACCTACCTACCTACCTACCTACCT